GTTGCCAGGGCAGCTGCGGCGGATAATCTGAGGCTCGTGGGCGCAGTGAGTAGAGCGACGGCCCTGAAATAGCGAGGAAGACGCCGATGGGCCTGGCCCGACCTCCTCGTCGTCTACCACCTCGTAGTATGCGCCGCGAACGCGCCCGTCCACCGCGGCGGCATGACGCGGCATGAAAGGCCCGTGCTCGGGATCGTGTCTCGGGGCGCCACCGCGGGCCGGCGGTCGCGGACATCGTCGGAGCCGCGAAAGTTCGGCGGTCTGTCTGCCCGCGACCCAGTCGTCGATGGCGCGTGAATTGCTTAGCTGGCAGTGCCCCATCATGTCGCGAAAACAAGGTATCGGCACTCCTCGGCGGCTTGAATGAAGCAGATGTGCTCCTGGTCAACCAGCGGCGCCGGTCAACCAGGCGGCCGGGGCGCCCACCGCTTGCCCTGGTCGGCTGGAGGTGATCCGCAAATGTGGCACTCCATCACCTGGCCGAAATTGCCGATGGGGTTCGGCCTGCGGTCCCTCCCCTCGCCCGATGATCGCGACCTGTCGCGCGCCTTCGCCTCGCCCTTCGCCTCGCCCGCCGAAGATCAGTGCCTCGCGAGCTCCATCGGCGGGGGGCGGTGACGCACGTCTGTGCGCCCTGGCTGGCGAAACGTCTCCGCCCTTCTCAGCCTCCGCGCCCCATCGCCCTTGAGGGCGTGCGCCATGGGCGTCTGACTCGGCGCGCAGGCTTGAGAACGCAGCCTCGCCGCCTGACGTTGTGGCACTGCTATATGCATAGAAGATTCTTCTTCCGATAGTTTTACAAGCCCGGGCGGAGGGAAAACCCGCCCCCCCCCCCGCCCCCCCAAACCGGACTCCCGGGATCTGGGGCTTTGGGGCCCTTCGGGCGGGCATCGAAGCGGCCCCCCGGGCCGCGCGCGGCGTTTTGCCGAGCCTTCGCAGCGCGCCGAGGGCGATCATGGGGGTCGTCGGAGACGCCCCGGAGAACCCAAGACAGCACAAGAGCGCTCCAAGAAGCCGTCATACCCCGAAAGATCGCTCCAAAACGCACCAAGAGGCCTCCAAGAGCACCCCCAAGAACGCCCCGAGAAGGAAAACTCATTTGATTGAACATATTTTTCAGTGAATTTGGGATTAATTTGGGGTTCTCCTCATTTCGGCTTCGCGACGCTCCAAGACAGCGGTCTTCTGGGCGTCCGAAATCGCCTGGGGGGCTCCAAAATCGCCCCGCAGCCATCCGAAAGGTCTTCCAGGCAGTCCAAGAGAGCCCCAAAACGGCACGCCAGGGGTCCAAAATGGCCCTGAGAGAGCCCCATGGCGGCCCAAGATGGCCCCAAGACACCCTCCGAAGCATTCCAAATCGTGACCGGGGCGTTCAGGGAGACCGCGGTTAGATGCAGGTTGGCCTCAGGAAGCCCAAAAGGCCCCCAGAACACGCCCAGGAGGCCTCCAGAAGGCTCTCAGAATGCGTGAGACCTTTGGTGAGGCCCCCAGAGGCTCTCCAAGAAGAAGCCCCCGCAAAAAAGAGCTGAGGAGGCTAGGGGGAATGCCCAGGGCATGGCGAGAATGAGGAAAGATAAGCATGGATGATGGATTACGAACAACATTATTATAACGGCGATGCCAGAAAAGGCAGCAAGTAGTAATCGTGAAAGCGTCCGCTTGACCTTCCCGCTCTTCCCGCTTGCATAGCAATCTTCAAGGGCCATGGCGCGAAGCGCCACTGCAGTCTTGTATGTATAGATGTATAAATATATATGTCTAAACGACGCGTAGGTCTCCTGGAACGTCGGCAAGATCCTCGCGATCACGGTCAGGTCCGCGTCCGCGTCGCCATCGCCCTCCTCGGCCGGATCTTTCCGCGGCGTGGCTGCTGGCGCGGCTGAAGGCGCAGCCTGCGTCGCAGGTGTGGCCCAGGCGGTCGGGCCTCCTGGAGCGCCTTGGCCAGCTGGCGTTGGCCGCGAACCTGGTGCTAGTGCCCCTTCTAGTTCTCCTTGAGATTCGCCGGCCGCGAACGCTACCGTCGCGTGAGCGTCGGCCCTGGAATGCCCCCCAAAAAGGCGGGCAATCTTTCCGAAGCGCGTTCTGCGATATGTCGTCGTCGAAGCACTGCCTCCAGGAGGTCGTCGCACAGCTGCTGGCTGCGTAGCACCATGCCGTTGAACGGCTGGAGTAATGAGATTGCTTCTCCAGGTGGAACACGGAGAGCCCTCGCGAGGGTGGAAAATAGGAGCTGGAAGCTGTCGAGGCCGAAGCCCGCCGCATCAACTTCTACCATGGTGACCCCCCCCTGGCCAGGGCGCCGTCGATACGCTCATCCGGCTGCGCCCGGAAGACAATCAGTTCGAGGCCCTGATGTAGTTCTTCCTCGTCCTCCAGGCTCTCGAACCCCTGGGTCAGGTAGTAAAGGGGGCGCGTCGCTGGGTCGGTGCGGACCCCATTGGTCTCCGCGCCGAAGTTGGTGACGGCTGGAGGTTTCCGCGGCGCCAGGGTTCGAGCGAGGCCTTGAAATCGTCGCTGACGGGCAGCCGCCTTCTGGGGTGGGGTCATCCGTCGTGAATGGACGTTCAGCCACGCGTGGGCCTTTCGTATCCATCTACAGTTTGTAACAGACCGAACAGGGTCCCAGGTGGGACCCCGCGTCTGGTCTCCCTCTCGCTCGCGGCTCATATGCCCAAAGAGCCACCGCGAGCGAATCGCACACTACCTTTCCCAAGAACGTGTTGCAGAAGGTAAAGGAGGTCGACGTAGTTCCCGGAGTAGCGGTGCTGCCGGTCGTGTTACCGCGAGCGGCTGAAGACAAAAAAGGTTCGCGAGTTGGCGATCCTGTAGGTCGGAGACGTGAAGATCGTCGGCGTCACCGCGAACGAAAATGGATGAGGTCCTAATCGGGGATGTAGTAGTAGAAGGCTGGTGTCGTAGTAGCGGTCGAAGGTCCTCGCGCTCTCGAAGTAGAAGTAGCGGCGTAAAGACATGATGTCGTAGTTGCGGTCGAGGTTACTCGCGCAGCTGGCGTAGTGGTTGACGAGAGGAAGGCCTTCATCTTTTCGGTCGAATCTTCTCGCGCGTTTAAATCCAGGTAGTCGGGGGAATCGGCGCCATGGTAGCGCTGTGGTAAGTACCCACATAGCGGTCGAATTCGAGGTCGTCCGCGTTGCTCTTGTTGTTATAGTCTTTCACGTATTCGCAAATCCTATTACAAGGTGGTGGTGGGCAGAACTGCCGCGGCTGCAGCAGCTCCGCTGACAAGTAAATGGTGATGTCATGAAAATAGAACGGTACGTAAAAACACGATGGGACGAAACAGGCGCCTTTTGTTTCTCCCAGCGCCTCGAATCGAGAGCAGGGAGGCCGCCACTCTGGGAGATTGGGCGGCGTTGCCCTGAGCCGGAACAGCGGCGGGCAAGCGGGCGTGTTACGTCCTCCCCCCTGGGACGTTTCCTCAAAGTGAGGAGCTCGCAAAACGCACTCCTGCTGGCTTCCTGCAATTCATCCCAAGGCCTGGCGCCCAGTGCCTGGGACTGACGGGGTTCATTGAAGTGGACGTTCTGCGCGCAAAACGCACACCTGAAGGGTTCCCAACTAGATCGGCATAGGAATCAGTATAGGAAACCTCCCAGCAACGACCCACCAGACGGAGGCCAGGGTGGGGAGGAGAATGGTAAGGCTTCGGGCTGCGCACAGACAGCTCCCCCAGGTAGTTCTTGGTGGCCTCAACACCCTGGCGCTCCGCGCCCACGGTTGGGGTGTTGAAACCGCCCAGGCTATTCAGGCGGCCTGTTGAGGCCAGCCAAGACCACCAGTGGGGGGCTGTCTTTGCGCAGCCCGAAGCACTGCGAAAGGGGTATGGGGGTGGGATCGGGAGGGAAAGATGCTTCGAGACAGACCACCCAAGTGGGTCCGAGTAGACGGGAACGGAGGATCGCGCTGAATCGGCCTTGCATCGGCGTCGTCAACGTGGACGAAATCGGACTCCACACCGAGCCGCATCGCCGAAGCATCGGCGATGCGGCGGGATCATCCAACCCCATCAGCTCGGACCCTGGTTGGGGGGCCTGCATTGCTGGGTGAACGGGGCCACCAATACCGCTGCTGCCCAGACGTCTGCCTGGGCGCCTCCCAGCAGTGATTCCGGGGCGGATCTGGCCCGGCGCGGCTCGGAGAGGAGGGAGGAGGGAGAGGAGGAGGGAGGAGGAGGAGGAGGAGGAGGAGGAGGAGGAGGAGGACGAGGACGACGAGGACGACGAGGACGACGAGGACGACGAGGACGACGAGGACGACGAGGACGACGAGGGCGACGCGGCGCCTGCGAGCGCATGGGCGGCCCGGAGGGGCTCCCTCGGGCGGGCGGGCGGGCCGCCGGCAGCTCGTGTGGCAGCGCTCGCTGTCTGAAGACAGACGCGGGAGGGCACGAGGCCGGTGCGGGCGGTCCCCAGTCAGCGCGCGGTCGGGAGGGATCCAGCCATGCACCAACACCGATCCTCGCCAGGTTTGGGTTGAACTACGCTTTAATGGGCAAGCCACAAGGGCGCATAATGTATTCTAGGCCCGGGGTCGGGCTGGCCAGGATCGGCTTTGGCATATAGTTGGCGTCGCCCGAATTGGCATCTAAATCAAAGAAATTTGAGACGCGCTTGAATTCACGCCTGCTAAATTTCCTTGGAACCCTGGGGCCCGCCGGCCCGTGCCAACTGTTTCGCTTCTGGGAGCGCCGGTGAGAATCACTGACGGCCGCCTGAGGTCCAACAAATAGCGAGACAGCACTTGGGATACACGAAAGACGAGGCTGATTGCGCCATTGGCAGAGCCAATTCTGGCCTCAAGAAGCCCGCGGCTAGCTGTTGCTCGGCGGGCAACTCTTGAATCAGCGACAAAGTTCTTGAAAGCCAGATCCAACTTTAATGGCTATCGGAAGCTGCTCCAAGCGATCCAAATGTTCCTGCCACAGAGCTGCAGCGGGCGAATGTTGGCAACGATCTAATCGCTTCGGCGTGCAGCGCGGCCTTCGATGACCACCCACTGGAGCAACGGCGTCTCGATGTCGAGCATGACGTGAT